CGTGCCCCAGCACTGCGGTGAGCAGCACGAGGGGCTTAAGGGGTCTCAGCTTTGGGGTTCAAGGGGTCTCAGTTTTGGGGTTTAAGGGGGGTCTCAGTTTCGAGGCCTCTGGTGCTGGGTGGCCGGGAGGAGTGCGTGGCCGCGCTGCGTGGCTGTGGCCAGCTCGCTGCTGGCTCTGGGTGCTGGCGCGGAGCAGAGGGATCTGAACATCTTCTCCCTGGGGCTGACCACGTCCCCGGGCAGCATCGGTGCAGCTGCTGGGGACATCTGCGTGGGTCTGTGTCCCTGCCTGAGCCCAGCCCAGCAGCACCCCCAGAGCACAGATTTGGGTACCCCGAAGCGCTCTGTTCCCCCTGACACACATCAGCAGGGTTCTGCCAGGGAGGACGTTTGGGTCAGCACCCCCCAGGCTCAGTGCAGGGCCCCTGCTCCGTGCCTCAGTTTCCCTTGCCAGAGAGAAAACCTCTTCCCCAGGGAGCAGAGGGGACCCCCACGGCGGCATGTCCCTGCCCTGGAGGGACCCGGCTCGGGGTAAGCCTGTCCCTGGCTCCCCCCTGGGTTTGGCCCCAGCGCTGCTGCTCTGCTCCCTTCGTCCCTGCGGCTCCTCAGCTCCCGGGGCTTTCGGCGTTCCCTGTCCTTGAGCAAAGCGCTGAGAAGCTGCCTCCTGGGCAAAGGTGGCTCCAGGGGAACAACGAGCCGCCCTTTGTGCCAGAGATTGGGCAGAAGACTGGGCAGAAGGACCGCAGGTAGGCGCAGCCCTGCCTTACATGTGAAGTAGGAGAAGTAGAAAGACGAGGATTTCCCCGGATTAGGAGGATTTTCTCCCCCAGGTCTGGTATCGCGTGATTTCCAGCGGGGAGGTTCGGCCTTCCTCCCAAGCAGATGCTCTGGGGGATCCTCACAGCAATCACTGAGTCGCCAAGGGCTGATCCCGGTGGGAATGTTGGTGCCGCAGCTCCCGTCAGGCTTGGGATCCCCAGGGCTGCGGGTGGCCGGGGCTGGGCCACGCGCGGGGTTACCCCTGGCACCAGGACCAGCTCAGGGTGGTGGTCTTGCAGGCAGAACCAGAGCTCAGATGCCCCTCTGACGGTGACACTGTGCCATCCCGGCCTCCACATCCCTGAGCTGGGGACACTGTAGGGCTCCGGGGTGACCCTTCAGGGGCTGGCACCCAAACGCTGGCCCTGGGGACACAGCTCTGCTCCAGGGACAGGGATGGGGGCTGCTCCAGCGGATGATGGCTCTGACACCCTGCCTGCCACCCACGCCTCCCCGCTGTCACCCGGAGCAGAAGATGACCAAGAGTGAAGGCAG